CCTTTATGGGCTTTGCAGCTTTAATTGTGCTTATTTAGATGTTTTTGACAATGTCACAAAATCTTGTCCAAAAACAATGTGGTATTTACAGTACATTCCTTTCCGAAAACGGGTAAAATATTGTCTTGAAGACAACAGAAGGGCTCATATGTGGCCATATACCCTCATTACAGACAATATGTTCTACCCATTGTATTTTAATCAATATAGGAAGGTATGCTGTTTTGCAAGACAATCCAATTTGTATTTGTTTCATCTAACATGCTACATGTTATTTCCTGTGCCCCTTCTCTTTTCATTCTCCAATCTGTGTGTCAATTTGAGATAGCAGGCTAGGACAGCTGAAGAGCATCTCAAGCCAGCTGAGACACAGAACAATCAGATTCACTCAATGTCAACCTCTTACGGACTCTGATGCTTTAGAATTTATAATGCGCACTAATGAGCCCTGTACATGTGCAGGTTTGCTTTGCAGAGATGTATATCCTTCATATTCTCCCAGACTTCTGCAGCACTTCTACAGATGTACTGTACTGATGTAGAGAAATTACAGTCCTCTGGCATTACCTTAAGTCTGAAGTCATAGATCTGTTTGATGCATAGTGCATAAACTCCCCCTATCAATTGCAATCCAGTCCGAGCACTAAGAAATTCAGGCCTTTCATTCCCTGCCCACCATCTTTCTGCTCAAAACAAGCTGGCCTCATCATTATTCTTAGGAAAGAGACTTACAAATGCTTCCCAGGTTCAGGGTTGGGATTAAGAGGAGGTTCTTAAAATGCACCATCAAAGGTCTTAAACTTCTGATGGAGTTGCTCAATTAGAGCTTTGACTTTTTGAACTTTGAGCATGATTTTTGAGTTTGCTCATTTAAATGAAGCTCTCCAGAACTTCATGATATAGTATTATATAGTTCTGATCTTTGAATCTGATTGGCAGAGTGGAGTTCCAAAAGTTCTTCTATTCAATATTTAACTGTACTTAAAAATATTATTTATTTTGAAACAATTTTCACTCATAAATTATTACAATGACACAGCAAGTAAAACATTGAATTAAACGTGAAATCTTGAAGTATAGACTTAAATAGTATTTTCTTGTAAAACATTATCTAATAATATTTGTTTTATCGAAAAATCATTTTTACAGTGTTTGTGACTTTCCAGACCAGAGTATGTGAGCGGTACAGAGTGAAAAACTTTTATTTTGATTTCGCTAGGAACTATTTTAGTGGACTTGTCTATTTTCCAAACTAAATTTCATCTGAAACATTTTTTATATGAACTTTTTTGTAAATTAAAGCATTTAGTAAACTATTTTAGGGGGCTTATATGGTGCTTAAAAATCTAAATAAATAAAAAATTGATTATAAAAATATTTTTCAACTATTATACAAGTATTTCAAATATTTTAAATTTGATTCATGGATTTTTTTTAAAAATCTACATAACATGCTGAAAGGTAAAATGATATAATTGTACTATAAATTTGCATTATAAAGAGTGTAAAGGGGATATGGTAATAGAAAATGACATTTAAATGCAAATGCAGTTTATCAGGGGAAATGCAAAAGTTTTGCAAAACACAAAGCATTGAAATATACAGAGTGAAACTGACAGGGCTACCTATAGGCAGAGCGGGCAATTGGCTAGGGCCTCGGGCTTTGAGGCGGGGCCTCCATAACCGTAACATCCAGAGTTGCCAAGTTCGCTTATAATATGAGACTTTGGGCGGCTTCTTTTTTTTATTTTTTTATTTTTTTGTTAAGTTGCGTGAAAAAATCCTGGGTCGTGGGTTGCGGTTTTTGGGCTTATTTTAAAAAATAGGGTTGCCTGTAAGGAAAATCTGACAAGCAACTTAGTTTCTTTACATTTATTTTCACCGTATTCTCCAGTGCATTGAATGAAACGCTGTCTGCTCATAGTTAATAGGCAATCAGTGCAATAATAAATGTAAAAGGTAATTTTTTTTTTATTTTGAATTTTTTTTTTTTTATAATGTATTAATTATCACGGGCTATAATAAAAAACAAGTAGGCCTGTACTAATACTAACCATATATACATTTGGTTCGAATATATTTTATTAGGCTATAAATATGTGGCTGTTACAGCTCCCCCTTAAATATCTTGTCTTTTTCTCCTTTTCCATCTCTTCAATCCCATTCTGCTCTCAGGTGATTGGAGATGAGTGGATAGTGTGTGCCTCCAGCTTTGTTGCAGTTTGCTGATTTTTGTAAAATAACTGTTTTTTTTTTGTTTTTTTTGCTTTTCAAATTAAAAAGTGGTTTCAGTTATATTGCAGGCTCATTTATTGGTAATAAATAATTGATGATAAATAATATTGATGATAATAATCAAATAATATTGGGCATGTTTTTGTTTCAAGGCTGTTTCAAAGTGGGTCCCGCCTTTTGAATGTTTGCCATAATGAACACATCATTCAAGTGATGTGATCATTAAAGATAATTTTACTGACTCGGATATTTGAATCTCTAGCAACCGGAAGCTGGAGATTACAGTTTATAAATCTAAAAAAATCGATATCTTTCTTACACTAATGCATCATTTCGCTTCAGAAGGCCTTTATTAACACCCCGGAGTCGTGAGGAGCAGTTTTATGATGGATGGATGGATGCAGTTTTATAGGCTTCAAAAACAGGGGCACCATTCACTGCCATTATACAGCTTGGAAGAGCCAGGACATTTTTAAATATAACTGTGATTGTGTTCGTCTGAAAGAGGAAGGTCAGAAATACGCCTAGGATGCCCTGAGGGTGAGTAAATCATGAGCTAATTTTCATTTTTGGGTGAACTATCCCTTTAAGTTAGCTGGCTGTGTAGTCTGTTAGTTCACCTCACCTCCCAAGTCTTAGTCTTTACAGGAAACAGAAATGATTAGTTCATCTCCCAAGTCTTTGGGTTCGAGTCGTTTGTTCAACACGTCACAGCCCCATATGCATAAGACTATGCAGTCTGTACCAGAAAGAGAAATGTTTAGTTCACCTCCCAACTCTTCCTGTGCATCCGAAATCATGTACTGTCTGAGTAGGTACTACATTTTAATTTTAACGAGCAACCTTTTAAACTATAGCCTACTTCACTGCACAGTTTCTGCAGCGTAACCCCAGGTATGTATCGCCACATTCTCGCGTTATGATAGGGTGACCATACGTGCCATTTTCCCAGGACGCATCCTGGCAAGGATTTCTATATTGCCTAAAATATCTAGGTTTTGGCTTTGTTTGCGTGTGCAGACCGATCGGTGTATGACATCAAAATACCATACAGACGGTTCCTTATGCTTTCAAAATGCTCTCGAGGTATTTTGATGTCATACACCGATCGCTCTGCACACGCAAACAAAGCCAAAACCTAGATATTTTAGGCAATATAGAAATCCTGGCCAGGACGCGTCCTGGGAAAATGGCACGTATGGTCACCCTACGTTATGAAGAATAAAGAAGGGAGAAGTTAATCTTCCGAAATGAAGCAGCAATATCTTCTCAGGTAAAAGTTATTAGAACCGTGTCTAGGGACAAGCTGGCCATCACACTGCTCTGACTTTATCAGCCCGTTTGTATCCTATTATTTGATTCGCTCTTCTCGCTTATGACAGAACAGCTAACGTTAATCAATCACGATGATCTTGTCTTCGGAAAAGATTATTTTATTCGCTTATGTCAGAAACAGCGAATCTCTTTAAAAACGGACTGTTGTTTCCACTACATTGCATTGTTATATTTCGTAAAAGTTTTACCCGCCAACTGGCGACTGACACTGTTACATGGACTCACCAACGCTGATTTTTACTCGCATTTGGCGCTTGGCGAGTGTTAATTTTAGGCCCTGTGCACGTACAATGAATGACATCGTGTCGGGAGCTGACTAGCAAAACAGCTACAAAAGTAAAAGCAAAGGAGTTTGTATTCAAAGTCAAAAAGCAAACACAAATTTTTTGTTCATGTTTCAAAAGAATAATAAAATAGGGGCCTCATATGTCTGTATCTTCTAAATTCTGCTGATGATTGCATTACTGCTCTAACATAACACTTAATTTAAGTTTCAACTAACTAGAAATGAACTTATTTTCTGCTTAGTAGTGATAGTCTCTTTCACTTCCACTTGATTTGTGCATATAGTGCATATTTAAGGTAACAATGCAATACATCATATCATATTAATAATAATAATAATTTATTATTGATAATAATATGACAATATCTGTAATCAATATTGATTAAATGGGAGGGGGAAATCCTGCCCATACCCAGCTAGGAAAGAAATTATAAAAACACTGTTCATTTACTGAAGTGGTGTTCAGGTACTGTGAATAAATTACTGATCAAATTACTACAAAATAATAATAATAATATGTCGGCTATAATAACATCCTCAACAAAGGAAAAAGAGATTACCTTAGATAAAGTTTGATTAATATGTATGTATGTATGTGTGTGTATGTGTATGTATGTATGTGTGTATATGTGTATATGTGTATATGTATGTGTGTATGTGTATATATATATATATATATATATATATATAAGTACCGGTCAAAAGTTTGGACACATTACTATTTTTAATGTTTTTGAAAGAAGTCTCTTTTGCTCATCAAGCCTGCATTTATTTGATCAAAAATACAGTAATATTCAGCAAGGATGTATTAAATTGATTTTAAAAAGTGATAGTAAAGAGAGACTTATATTGTTATAAAATATATATATATTTTTTTTTTAACAACTTCTTAATCATCATGAAATCCTGAAAAAAAGTATCACCGGTTATAAAATAAATATTAAGCAGCACAACTGTTTCTAACATTGATGATTTCTGAAGACTGGAGTAATGAATGATGAAAATTCAGCTTTGCATTACAGAAATAGATTATATTTTAAAGTATAGTAAAATAGAAAACCATTATTTTAAAATGTAATAATATTTCACAATATTTTCACAAAAGTATGTTTCTGTATTTTTGATCAAATAAATGCAGCCTTGATGAGCATAAGAGACTTCTTTCAAAAACATTAAAAATAGTAATGTCCAAACTTTAGTACTTTAGTACTGTATAAAAGAATACTAAAATATACTAAAATAAAATGAAATGTTGTATAAATAAAAAGGTATTTAATCATATTTTTTTATTGGGGGTGGGGGCCTCCCACATGAATTTTGCCTAGGGCCTCCAGATGTCCAGAGTGAACTCTGGGTACAGAGTTAAAAAGCTTAACAAACTGGCCAAATATCATCTGAAACATTTCTCTATGTGAACTTCTTGTTTATTGAGCTATAGTTTTATCACACTCACGATTTGTCTACTCCACGTCTGTATGCCTCACTCTTTGTTTTCTCAGCCTTGAAGGACAGTCGGTTTCAGCTGGTTAACTTCTCAGACAACGAGCTGCTGGTGTCGTTGTCCAACGTGTCACTCTCGGATGAGGGACGGTACGTGTGCCAGCTCTACACGGATCCCCCGCAAGAAGCCTATGCAGACATCACTGTGCTGGGTATGACGTCTACCTTCAGAATGCTAAAATCCTGATTATCGATTTACCTCATTGATTCCTTCACTCAATTGAACTTGTCTAATTGAATCTCACCATGACACAATATCAACCAATTACTCTCATGCCGTTTCCAATAACACAAGCCAAACAAAAAGGAACAGATGTTGAGCTATTGATATTGGTAGATCGCTTTTGGCAGGCGTATTGACTGAATTCCTCTTAGATGTTGAAAAGGCTACATCGAGCGATTCGGGAGTTAGTTTTGTGTGCCTCTTGCATTGAATGACACTAACATTAGAGGTTTATTATGCAGCATATTTGGAAATCCTGGAGAGCTGGATGGAATTGAGTGCTCTCTAAAGTAGCATGAGCTTTATGAGGATATGCGTTCCTTCACAGCATGAACCCTTAACCACTGGACATGAAAGCGTGAAGCAAGATATTAGAAAAAGAGCCCTCAAATGGCAGCTCTCGTTGCGACAGATGCTTTAGTGCCATCAGCAAAGAACCACATGAGTTAATGTGCTATGAAAAAGTGAAACATGAGTAAAACGGCTTGTCCAAATACACAGTGAGACCATCAAAACATAGAAATGCTACTGTATGTACCTCTGAATGTTTCAGAGATTTCTAAAACAGTTTGGAGTGTTGCTAATCTAGCCCTGCTGCCTAATTGAGCTGAGGAAGCCTGTCTAAAACCCAAAATACCCAAACACCCTCTAAAACCAACTCAGACCAGCTTGACCTAGATTAAGATGGTATTCAGCTGGCTAGTTGTTTTTATCCTGACCAGTTAAAATGTGCCCCAAAACCCACTAAAACAGCCAAAAGACCAGCTTGACCAATGGTCATTATGCTGCTGAAGAAAACCTGCTTAAACCAGCTGTAGATAGTTCTTTGCTGGTTTATGATGGTCTTCAGCAGGTTTAGCATGGTGACTAGCTATTTTTTCATCCTAACCAACTGGAATGTGCCCAAACCCCTCTACAATGTAGATACACATGCCAAAAATTTGCAGTAATTAACAATTAATGTTAGAAGTATCTGATGCTCAACAAGAATGCATTTCTTTGTTTAAAAACAATTTTGTGAAATATTATTACATTTTAAAATAACAGTAGTGCTGCTTATACATATTTTTATGGAACCTGCGAATCTTTTTTCATCCTAACCTAACTGGAATGTGCCCAAACCCCTCTACAATGTAGATACACATGCCAAAAATTTGCAGTAATTAACAATTAATGTTAGAAGTATCTGATGCTCAACAAGAATGCATTTCTTTGTTTAAAAACAATTTTGTGAAATATTATTACATTTTAAAATAACAGTAGTGCTGCTTATACATATTTTTATGGAACCTGTGAATCTTTTTTTTTTTTTTAGATTCTTTGAATAGAAAATTCAAAAGAACAACATTTATTCAAAATAAAATTCTTTTGGAACATTATGAATGAATAAAAGCGTTAATTTCTTACCCCACGATTTTGAATATGTATCATGGTTTTCACAAAATATTAAGAAAAAATGTTTCTTAAGCTGCAAAGCAGCATATTAGAATGATTTCTGAAGGATTTCTCAAGGACAGTGAAGACTGGAGTAATGATGCAGAAAATTCAGCTTTGGTATCTCAGGAATAAATTACTACTTTTTTTTTTTTACTGCATTTATGTGGTCATTGGTGAGAATGAGACTTCTTTTCAAAAACGTAAAAAAAATTTCAGAAAATTCAGCTTTGGTATCTCAGGAATAAATTACTACTTTTTTTTTTTACTGCATTTATGTGGTCATTGGTGAGAATGAGACTTCTTTTCAAAAACGTAAAAAAAATTAACATTTAAAAATGTACATTTTATATATTTATATATTTGTGTAGCACTTTTTTACAACACGTATTGTTCCAAAGAGCCCCATTGCGGAATCCACAGGCGACAATGACAACCCCTTAACATGGTTAGGTGGTTGAGGTAGAAACCTTGCGAGGACCCAAGGAAGTCTTGCTGGTTTAGCTTGTTAAAATGCCTGGTGGGGACACCAGCACACCAGCAATCAATGCTGGAAACCAGCATCCAAACCAAAACATAGACTATAGGGTATTTTCAGATAGAATGATGAGGGGAAAAAAAAAAAAAAATTATCTCAAAAACAACACTTTTTACACTGTGTGCGCTTTATTACTGAATTGAAGTTCTCGATAGTCATCAGCAGATCTTAGTAAAACAGCGAGCACACAGATAAAAAACATTGATCCAACGCTGAAGAGCTGTCGCACCATCTCTAATCCTGCCGTTGATCTTCTGCCAGTTCCACCAGGCAACCCAATCTTAGAGTCCCGCGAGGAAATCGTGAGTGAGGGGAATGAGACCGAGATAACCTGCACCGCCATGGGCAGCAAACCTGCTTCCACCATCAAATGGATGAAAGGAGACCAACCACTGCAAGGTCTGACTCAGATCCAAGGAAGATTGTTCAGATAAGTCTGCTGTGATTACTGATGTCTCTGATCTGCACACAACACACCACGGTCTAGATTCTGACTTTGTAATGACTTTTAATTAAGCCTTCAAAAGGTGTATCCAGTGAATTGACAAGAAGATCACAACACGCAGGTCTCTGAAAGAGGATTTTTGGTGCTTTCAGTCAAGCTTAAATAAGTAGCTTTGAATAAACTC